TCAAGAAAAATATAACTGTTCTTGAAGCCTGAGGGAAAGTTTTCCCTATGGTCTTCATAAAGGAGATTCAGAGTTGGAAAGAATCACACCCATCCCTACCCCAAATTGAACTTTTATGTGTTAAGGACAAAAAAAATCTGAGCATAGAAATGAAATTTTCTTAAATTGTCAAGTTACCCATAAAACTCTACATGGAAAAGAGCCTTTACCTTGTGATAAGGAAAGAGGCAAGGGTGTTAAATTCACAAGAGTGATTCTGTTTTCATTCCAGCCTCAAAAGCTAGACATGTATTTCTAGCAATGTATTTATTATGGTTTATCCATTACGACAAACAATTTAGATATCGCTGGAAGTGACTAGCATGTGCTGTATTTTAACTTCTTTTTTCCTGTAGGAAAAGGAAGAGTTGATTGAAGAGTGGCAACCAGAGCCGCTTGTTTCTCCTGTCTCTAAAGACCATCCTGCTCTCAACTACAACATTGTTTCAGGGTAAATTGGTTTTGCTATTTGAAGGACCTGTGTTTGGATTCCTGTAGGTATATTTGCTAAAGTATATTGTGGCTTATAAGTATTCCTTTTTAACTGAAATAAAACATTTATAAATTTCTGGGAATAACTAATTTCTTTAGTTCCCAATATAAAAATGTCTTTTAGGGATGTTATGGGCATTTTTTAAAGTCTCCAATTTGGAGATTAATGTTTGTCCTTTATTCAAAAAAAAAAAAATCTTTTTTTCAGATTAACACATGCACATGGTTATATTTCAAATGGTCAAGACACAGTTAAGGGCTGGCCCGGTGGCGCACTGGATAGTGCACCGCTTGGGAAGCGCGGCGGCGCTCCCGCCCGAGGGTTCGGATCCCACATACAGACTGGTTCCCGCTCACTGGCTGAGCGAGGCGCGGGGGCAACGCCGAGGGTTGCGGTCCCGTTGCCGGTCCCCGGTCCAGTACGGGGGCAACACTGAGGGTTGCGATCTGTTGCCGGACACGGAAAAAGACGAAAAAAAAAAAAA